TCATGCCAGAGGTCTGTGGTCATTCGAACCTTCATCACAAGTGACTTCATGACTGGTGTGCCTGCGACACCTGGCAACGAGATCCCTGTGGAGGTATGCATGTTTCTTTCTAATGTGCATTTCAGGACCTCGTGATTCCATGATATGGTGACTTGAATAGGCTGTGCTGAAGTTGATATTTTTGGGATTGATTCTCTGTTTTTTTTTTTTTTTTTTCCTGTCTTCGTTTATTTGACCATTTAATATTTGGCAGCAGAAAAGACCCTTAAATTTAATATGCCCTGTAGATGTCTGATTGCTATGTAGAAAGTCACCAACTGTAATCTACAATTTTATCTAATCCTGCCAGCCCCTGTACTTCTCCAAGTGCAGGAAACCCTGGGAGTGAAGAGGAGTTTGTAAGGATGAGGTTTGATGGTGCATGGCCAGGTGTGAACCGCCTAAGGCTCTGCCTGTCATGCTTCCAGTTCCAATTTTGATCATTTTCTTTCACCCTCTGTCTTTCCACCACAGTGGGCCAAAGGAGCCCCTTACATAATAGCAACTGAAAATCAAACTCAGACTTTAATGTGAGGTCCTGGTTCTAGCTGAATAGCTGGCTTGTGGGGAATGTGGCTTAAATTTGCTGAATCTTTGGCCAATCAAGTGACCAGGCCATCCTCTCTTCCTGTGCACTTTACAGTGACTGTTGATAGTGCATCAGTGTCCCCTGCGTGGCTCAGAGTTGCACGTGTAAGCCACAGGTGACTTGTAGAGCCATTTGCTGGATGCCGTAGCAGTGTCAGGTCACTGTATATGTAGGCACTTGTGGACTGATGGCGGGCATCTCTTGTCTTCCAGTACCTGTCCGTGGACTACACTGAGTAGTACTGATTTGAAGTCACTAATATCTATTATAGAGTGAGATAGGTTCACTCTGTAAGATTATTCAGAGATCATTCCATGTTCATGAAGGATGGTAGTAAAACTAGATGACATCTGAATGTTAAATTGCAAAGCACGCCCTCTGGGATTGTTGGATGTGCAGTGGAATCTGACTCTTGTGTTTGTAATCTTTCTTTTTATCACAGGTGGTGTTAAAGATGGTCACTGAGATTAAGAAGATTCCTGGTATTTCTCGAATTATGTATGATTTAACTTCAAAGCCCCCAGGAACTACTGAGTGGGAGTAATAAACTTTTTGTTCTGTTAAAGTACTGTGTGCAGTTTAAATTGATTAGAAATCATTCTCATTATTAACATTCAGTACTGTGAAAAAAGTTACTGGAGCAGCTCCATCACATCCAAGTTCTCCACAGCAAAGATCTGCAGCTCCAGTGCAGAGTTATGGATAACCAAAAGGTACTGAAGAGTGTGGCTGGGCAGATAGTCAACGCACTGCTGCCCACACCCAGACAGGCCAGTGCTGCTTTTGCCTCTGCCTTGTGCATTCTTAGTATAGAATCACAGTTGCTATGATGTCTCTATCTACGAAGGTGGATGAGGGTGGGTGATTGGCAGCAGGCCTCTTGTCTCCTTGCCAGTTTCTAAGAGGAGTTAGAAACACCCAGTGATTATCAGTGTGACTGTGTGTACCTTTTGGAGAATTTGGGTTTCCCTGTGACATTATTTCTGTAAAGGGTGAGGAAGAGATGAGACAAACTTCCTCAGACAAAGACATATGTGGGCTGATCCAGTAGCCACTTTTACAAGATACTGGAGCTGTTGAACGTAAGCTACGGTGGGTGAGATGGGAAAACCACCTGGAATTTATGGAAGCACATTAGGATTTTATGACATCCCAGCTATGGGCAGGAAGAAACTCTGAATGTTCTCAAATGTATATGAACGATCTCACTGTTTTTAACCCTTGTTCCACGTCAGTGCCATGTTCCTCATGCCAGCCTGTTAACTGATAAGGAACTCTCCCAGCCTGTGCAGCTGCTCCCAGAGCCTTGCATGGAGTTTCTGCTCTATCTCCTGAAGAGTCTTCTGTTTCCATGATGTTGTGGTGTCCAGTGTAACACAGGTGGAGCTCACGAGGAGACTTGAAACCCTTGTTTTGCTGGTCAGAGGAGTCCCAGGGCACAGAAGCCGTGATGCATGCCTGCAGCCCATGAGGAGAGGAAGATGCTTTCATCATCCAGTAAAGAGTTGTAAAATGACCTCTTAGGTCCGTTCTTTAAACAGATGCAATACTTGCTACTCAGTCTGTGACCACTCTTGGCCCATGCAAGCTATTTGCCAAACCTTGTAATCCTTTCTCCCATCTAATCTGTGTGCTTGATGGCCATTGCTGCCAGCTGTTAAACTGATCCTTTATAGCATTCATATAAGCATGACAGAAACCTACAGTCAGACTTCAATTCTGCCACTATTTCTCTTACATTTTAGCTTAAGATGCTGCCATGTTTTTTTATAGTCTCACCTTGGGTTGCTGCCTCTTACCTAATTTAGGTCTTGTCTAATAATCAGGTACAAATTTTGTTTGGGATTCAGAGTGAGAAAAAACTTCTGTGTGGCAGAAGTCATATTGTCATTCTGGCTGGTCCAGAGGCCCTCGCCAAATTGCTGCTGGACCGACAAGGGCAGGTTCTGTCTGTCATAGCAGACACCCTTGCCCAAAGCAGTGGAGTGTGCATCTCCTGCAGAGCACAAAGGGTCATTCTCCATCCTGCTGAGGAGACGGTCATAGTGTAGCCTTCCAGAAGGGAGGATATGATAGTGACCTGGTCTTAAGAAATTTTAACAATGAATTTAGAGCTAGAATAGACCAGTTATCAAATGCTCACCAGCATGCATTCATACATGTTGATGTTTAAAAAAAAAAAAAAAAACACAAACAAAAAACTCTTATTGCAGACATGTCCTATGGTTTTTGTATTCAAGCACACAGTGGGAATTACAAAGAATATATAGTAAGATCACCTCCCCTGCTGGTCCCACAGAACGCTCTTCCACTGTGATGTGAAAATGGCCAGGTGACCATAGAGGTTGGATCCTGGACATTCATAGTAAATGATGTTCAGAACCCTTGAGAAATTTGAAGTTAAAAAAATAGTTTTTTAAGTTTGCCTCACTTTTGTGTTTTTGTGATGTTTTCTTCTTAAACACCTCTTTATATAAAGCCTTCAACCTCTGCAGTACTGGGAATCCAGCCCAGGCCCCCACACACTGGGCCAGTGCTCTAGCACTGAGCTGCGCCCCACCCTGTGTAATCCTCCTCAGTACTAGAAAGATGGTTTCCCCAAAACACCTTCATGTGATGTGATTTAGTTTTTGAAAATATTTCCTGGAATTCAGAACTTTCCTAATACTTGATGTCTGTCTTCCTTTGCACAGCACCTTACTTCATGCCATACAGTGTTCCCCAGACCTCCACGGTATTCACCAAGCCACCGTAAAAAGGAAAGGTTGCAGATCCATTTACAGCTGAGGAAATAAGCTCAACTCAGGAATGGTTACCTAATACAGTTAAGAATTTTTTTTTTTTTTTTTTTTTTTTAAAGAGAGAGAATTTTAATTTTTTTTTAGTTTTCGGCTGACACAATATCTTTGTATGTGGTGCTGAGGATGGAACCTGGGCTGTACGCATGCCAGGCGAGCCTACCGATTGAGCCACATCCCCAGCCCCCAGTTAAGAATTAAATGTCAGGTTTCCTTAGTCCCAGTAGTCCTTTCATTAGTGTTTTCTGACACCCAAAATTACATAAACGTAATTACATGATGGGTTGTTTTTGGCCAATGCTGGGATGACTTCCTGCCTCCAAGCATGTCACTAGTTATCCTGGGCAGATCATAGCCTCATATCTGTGCTCACCTCAACCTGGGACACTTCCCTGGTGTGTACACACACACGCATATCTATTAGAGGACATCGGGTCAATGACAATGTAATTTGCTCCTAAGATTGTCAGACAAAATCTTTTTTTAAAGAGTGAGAGAGGAGAGAGAGAGCATTTTTAATATTTATTTTTTAGTTCTCGGCGGACACAACATCGTTTTTGGTATGTGGTGCTGAGGATCGAACCCGGGCCGCATGCATGCACTACCGCCTGAGCCACATTCCCAGCTCACAAAATCATTTTTAAAATAAATACAAAGTACCCAGTCCTGCCCATAGAGGATCATCAGCTATGTTAGCAGTAAAACCTGGCGTAGTTTCTGAAGCTGTGTTCAAGTGTGCCTGGGAGACAGGTTTGCTGTCTTCTCAGCTTCCATAATCTCAAGTAGCTGCGGGCATGTGGCCAGACAAGCACGTGCTGGTTTCCTGGCCGGGTCTCAGCCTCCCTCCTGATGGCCTGTTTCAGAACACCTGGACTTCCTTCTCAGGTGAGGCCATTCAGGGGGAGCAGGCCACTCTGCCATCAGAGTCGGAGTAATAAACTTTTTGTTCTGTTAAAGTACCGTATGCAGGTTAAATTGCTTAGAAATCATCAGACAGTTGTGTCAACTCGGACAAGTCATTTGTTTCTTTTTTGGTCATTTTTTGACGATTCTGTATAGACCAGCAACACATGACCACTTGGGAACCCATCAGAATGTTCCTGGTGGCAGTGTGTTTTGAAAGCATGTTTTTGAGAGGGTATGCTTGGGCCTTGGGACAAGTAAAATCCCCCCTCCTCAGCACCAGCCCTTGGCACAGCCATAGTCCAGGCTTTTGGTTTTCTGCATTGAAGAGGTAACTTTGCAGCCCTTAAGGCAGTGCTTGGAAGGAAGCTCTCTGCGTAGATGTCAGTCACAAATGCTTTGAAGTGAGAGTCCTCTCCGGACTATGTGAGTTTCATGAGATTGCACTCTTCTAGAAGTTTCTCTGATATCTTCACGCCCAGTGTCAGAACCCTGCCCCTTCTCACCTTCCACACCAGTCCTGTGCACTGCTTGACAAACTCCCTGTTTCTGGGATTTTCACTGAAATCTGGTGAGACTGGCCTTAGATGGCACCCCAGTGGATGCTCCCTCCACTGTCTCATCGCAGATGTAACTGGAAACAGCACAGATGGATGCATCCCCTCTTGGATGCACCCTTTTGTCCTTATGGAGGTGACTTGGCTATACCAGGTGGTTTAGCAACCAGGGTGTCTTCCCCACTGTGGGGAAATGGCAGTGGAATGGCAGGGGCCCTGATACTCCTGAATTGCTGTTCAGGGATCTCTACCTTGGTTGCCTGTTATTACTACCCGAAAAATTTAAAAAACAAATTAAAAAAAATATCCAGACCTCCAGTTAGACTAACTTAGAACCGCAGGGTGAAGCCCAAGCATTTACAGTCATAAATCTCACAGGGAATAAGTTGTTATTGAGGGACACACCTGGCCTGTCTAGTTCTGGCTTCAAATCCTAGTCAGACCTGTAAGTGAGAAATGTAGGCTGCTGGGACTGTCTTCCCAAAGGTCTCAGCTAAATCCATTCAGATGAGGGGCCAGATTCTGGGTGTTCTGCCTATGCTATGTCATAGGGCAGACTCCCAACAGTCAGTTTGGTACTTTTGGGACAGCTCGAGATCATTACCTGTGTGGATGTCAACAATTGCACAGGCCTCTTTGAATCTCTTCCTACTCCTTTTACTTTTCCCTCAGAGGAGAGTCCATCCCTGTGCTGCAGCCACCCCAGTTCTGACAATAGCTAGGCCACAAACCTGAGCAGCTTTCCTGCACCAGTGGAGAAAGTCTCCTGCGGCTGTCACCTGAGCATCTGTCTGAACAAGAGATTGCCCACAGGAAACCCAAGTTTCCTGAAGTAGAACTGTGGAGTACACTTTGTCTTTGTTCTGTGGTGAACCCTGGGGCAGCTTGGGACCTTGTTATGGGCCCTTGGTTATGTGACCATGAGACCTCGGGGAGTCTTGGGATATTAGGCTCAGCAACACCAAGGACCTGAGCTGTCCAGGAAGCCTGAACCTTGAATAAATCCAAGTGGAATTCTTGTCTTTGCAGAACAGATTTTTTCCCTTTTAATATTTTTTTAGTTATACAGAATACCACTACTTTATTTATTCATTTTTTTAATGTGCCGTGGATTAAACCCAGGGCCTCACATATGCCGGGCGAGTGCTCTACCGCTGAGCTGTGAGCCCAGCCCCAGAACAGATGTTTAAGATAAGTAATTTTCTGTCTTTGCATCTACTGTGACCATTGTTACAATCTTATAACACATGAAGAAGTGAATGTAAACCTCTTGCACAAATTTTTATAAAGAAATATTTTGTTAATTGGAGAAAGTTGTAGCTGTGAAATCACCACTGTGCTGTACTGCAGTGTCTGTGTTATAACTGCCACATAAAACAGCTTTGCTAAAATGAATGTGAAATGACTGATCTTTTTTGTCTTCAGTGTGCTTCATAAAGGAGGAAAGGACGACTTATATTTTGTCATTAGGCTTCAGTGTTTATCAGAAGGTGAGAGAAATAAGAGCAAAGAAGACAGATGTTTTCAGAATATGTGAAATAAATCATACCCACTGTCAGGGATTTCTTGAAAATAAACCATCTGTTTCCCTTACCTATGTGGGAGGGTCAGCATTTTGCCCATGTTAGCAGTGGACAGAAAATACTGCATAGCTTTTCAACTTAGTTATCAGCTAAAAGTGTTCTCATGCCTGTGTGATATCAAAATTAGTCATATATGCATGTATATGAACAAACGTGACTTTCCTACATGTCATGTATATTTGATCACATCTTTTCTCAGTTTCTCAAATTACTTATATGATTTTGGTATATAACTTAAATTCTTTTAATTGGAACTGTGTTATGTTTGTATGAGTGAAGATTAGAGGAGATAACCATGCTTATTTTTTTAAGTTTTTAAATTTTTTAATACGAGGGATGGAACCCAGCCATGCTTAACCACATAAGCCACATCCCTGGTCCTTTTTATTTTTTCTTTCAGTTTCTCACCAGATTGCTTAGGGCCTTTGCTAAGTTGCTGAGTTTGGCCTCAAACTTGCAGTCCTCCTGCCTCTGCCTCCCCAGCTGCTGGGATTACAGGTCTGCTATCACGCCCAGCAACAACCATGTTTAGAAACCAAATTCATTGATTATTTTCAGGCCTCATTGCTCTGGCCTTTTTAAGATCAGTGACCTGGTCAGGCATTCTGAGAAGACTAGTTAATTCAACTGTATTTTGAAAGTTTTTTTTTTTAAAAAAACATAGCTTAAGATAAAAATATTAGTTCTTATCTTCAAATCTAAGATAAAGCTATCATTCTACCTTTTAAAAATACTTCTATAAAAACTATCACAAAATTTTAAAATATTTTATGAATTATTCTAAAGAGTTTATGTAGAGTAGATCCTAAGAAAAGTAGTTAGAAATCTGATCACTTTGACCTTGCTCTTGCCAAATAATCTGTTAAATTCTAATTATTAAATGCTTTTTTAATATTTCAAGGTCCTGTTCCATATGCATATATTACTGTCCTTTTAGACATAATCTGCCAAAACAATTTTTTTTTTTTTAGTCAATTTTAAGTTAATGTTATGACAGTGTTAAAAATTCACACTCTGGGGCTGGGGATGTGGCTCAAGCGGTAGTGCGTTTGCCTGGCATGCGTGCGGCCCGGGTTTGATCCTCAGCAAACAAAGATGTTGTGTCCGCCGAAAACTAAAAAATAAATATTAAAAAATTCTCTCTCTCTAAAAAAAATTCACACTCTGGCTTTATAAAACAGTGGGAACACAAGGGCCTTTTGTCAAGATGCTGAGGTTGGACTTAAACTTCCAATCCTCCTGCCTCAGCCTCCAAAACTGCTGGGATTGGATGTGTTTTTGAATGCAATTTGCTATCAAATTAAGGATTTGGGCATTTATGTTCATCAGGGATATTGGTCTATAGTATCCCTTCCTTGATGTATGTTTGTCTGTTTTGGTATCAGTTATTACACTGGCTTCATAGAATGTATTTGGGAGTATTCCCTTCCTCAAATTATTCAATAATAATTGAATAAAGACTGGTGTGTGTTCTTTAAAGATCTGTTAGATCTTAACTGAGAATCTTTATGGTCCTGGACTTTTCTTTGTTGGAAGGTTTTATTTTATTTTATTTTTATGTCTTTACAATATTTACTTACTTAGAATGTGTTAGAGGTTTTTAATTGCTGTTCCACTACTTGATACTGGTTTGTTTAGGTTTTCTATGTCTTCCTGGTTCAGTAAGGGCAGGTCATATATGTTTAGAAATTTCTTTGATCTTTTCTCTCATTCTGCTCAGTCTAATGAGGTTCGGTGCCAGGAGGCAGAATACCACAGGATTCTCAGGGATTTGCAGTCTTGACTGCAGGGGTTCCAAACAGTTGCCCTGGCTCTTATGTCCAGACTGGCCAACTGGCAGTTCAGGTTTCATCTAGAAAGTCTCTTTAATTCTCTGGACAGTCCTATAAATAGTAGTCTTTGTCACAAAGGTACGTTGAGTTTTAGGAAAAGGTTAGGCAATTAAATCTCAAGATTTCCAGGTTTCAGCATTTGTAGAGGGGAATGCTACTCAGTGAAGCTG